TGAGCCAGGAGTGCAAGTGGCCTCCGGAGAGTGGGAAAGCAAAGGAGAGGATCGGCCCCTAGAGCTTCCAGAAGGAATGCCGCCCTGCCAACTCCAGAACTATAAGATCACAAGTCTGTGTTGTTTTAAGCCACAAAGTTTATGGTAATCTGTTACCGCAGCAATAGGAAAGGAATGCACCTTCTAACGTACTATGTAACTTACTAATTTCTTGTTATTATTTATTATTTCTTGCTTTTTTTTGGTGGCTGGCTGGTATGGGGATCCAAACCCTTGACCTTTAGTGTTATAAGGCTGTGCTCTAACCAATCGAGCTACTGAGCTAACTGGCCAGCCCTCCCCTTTGTTTCAGAAGGTAACAAGGTTTTCGTCCAGGTCCATTAGCTGGACATGATGGGGCAGTGGTTAAAGAATTCGGCCCAGGCTATCTACCCCAGGTGTTTTTTTTTGTTTTATTTTTTAATTTCTATTTTTTAACCTGCTCTGGGAGAGAGGCGTAAATGGAAGGGCAGGAATTCTACAGAGCTAGCAGAATATGGACCAGGCTGCTGCAGGCTCAGGGCAGTTCAAATCCCAAATCCTGAAGCTTCAGGTTCATGAGGCTTCATGACATGCTGAGTCGCAATCTATTGTTCCCTTAGGTCCAATGTGACAACAGGCAGCCCCGGTAGACTGAAATCAAGGCTGTTGAGGTGGAAGTAATTTTTTTTTTTTTTTTTTTTTGGCAGCTGGCCAGTACAGGGATCAACCCCTGGACCTTGGTGTTATCAGCACCACACTCTAACCAACTGAACCAACTGAGCTAACCAGCCAACCCCCAAAATAATTTTTTAAATGTTTATTGAAAGCCAAGCTTGAGGACTGACCCAGGAAACACAAACCAATGGAGCTGGGAAGTGCTCTGAAGTCTATTACAGGCTGGAAAGGTTCTGGAAAGGTTTTGGGATTTCTTTTTGGCGGCTGCCAGTATGGGGATCCAAACCCTTGATGTTGGTGTTACAAGGCTGTGCTCTAACCAGCTGAGCTAACCACCAGCCCCCAGGCTGGAAAGGTTTTATAGGAAATTTTGGAAAGGGGAGGGGGACAATTTATACTGGGGTTGTCCTGTTGTGGTTAAAATACAAAAGTTACAACCACTGGCTACAGGTTACTACATATAGGCTAAAAAAATGTCTCCCTGTAGAACAGGCAGTAACCTTCATGCCTCAGCTACTCTGGAAAACAGCTCATTACTTTGTTGGGCTGGCCCATGGCTCACTCAGGAGAGTGCGGTGCTGATAACACCAAGGCCACGGGTTCGGATCCCATATAGGGATGGCTGGTTGCTCACTGGGTGAGCGTGGTGCTGACAACACCCAGTCAAGGGTTAAGATGCCCTTACCAGTCATCTTTTTAAAAAAAAAAACAAAAACAGCTCATTGTTTTATAACAGCAGGATCCCCCATATTTGCTCATGTTTGATCCTTTTCCCCTAAGGCTAGAGAAGGCCTCCACTTCAGAGGAAGTTTGCAAAAGCAAACTTGGTGGCTGAATCTCTAGAAACAGGTGTATGCTTTTCTGGCAGGATGTAAGATAAACATAAAGGCTAGCTTAGCATGACTCTGAGTTCCCTCTTTTCCCATGGTTATTTGATATTTTGAACCTTAATTACAAGGAAGAATAACATTACTTACATACATGTAAAGCTTTTTTCCAGTCAGCCTGGAGCTGCAGGCTTGCTATAAGACATGTGCTGTCCAGACCCTGAGAAACCAAGGAACCCATCAGTAAGGCTATAATGATTCCACCCTGAAGCGAATCAGAAACCTGCAGTACCCTGTTAATGTCAAGGACATGAACAGAAACCAGATGGAGCTTTGACAAGATTTTGCAACTGGCCCCTTACACGTCCCCTTCCCTCTTGCTTTTTTTTTTTTTTTTTAAAGATGACCGGTAAGGGGATCTTAACCCTTGACTTGGTGTTGTCAGCACCACGCTCACCCAGTGAGCAAACTGGCCATCCCTACGTGGGATCCGAACCCTTGACCTTGGTGTTATCAGCACCACACTCTCCCGAGTGAGCCACAGGGCCGGCCCTTCCCTCTTGCTTTTCACTCCCTCAACTTCCTCTTAAAAAGCCCTCAGTAAATCTGAGCCTTTGAAGTGGTTTAGTCTGCCATTGCAGGTCTGAATAAAGCTGCCTTCCCTTATCATCTACATTTGACTTTCCAGATGTTTATTTCTGTTTGGTGGCAGGCAGCTGGACTTGGGTTCAGTAAGAGTTTCACTTACAGGCAGCAGGTGACACATTAATTGGTACATCAACAATTTCAGGAACTTATACAAATTCTTTACTTAGGAATAGGATGGTTTTTTGGTTTTTTGGTTGCTGGCCAGAAAAGGGATCTTGTAAAGGATTCTTAAAGCAAATGTACTTCACAGGGCCTGGTTTTCCAAAGCCTTGCAGTTTCAAATATTGACCTTGCGGAGGACTGGGAATTTTCCTCAGGCTACAAAGTTTCTGTCGTAAGATAAAGATTTGTGGCACAGCAAGGTTGCTGGCTCAAGGACAGACTAGTTACTGATTGTTATGTAAAGATACTGAGAAATTGCTGTAAAAAGGAATGTTTGCTAAGATCAAGCTTTTGTTGATAGGACCACTTAATTGCCTTACTGGAATGTCATCTGGCTTGTTTCACTGAAAGTTACCAGCCTATATTGTTAAACTAGAACCCCACCTATGTTCTCTTCCTGTAACTTCCTGGTCTGGAAAATAAATGCAGGAAGAGAATCCCAATTCGCGGTTAATTTCCCAAGGAAGGGATGCCTCTCGCTTGAGGGTTCCGGGGGAGATTAACCAGTTCGGGGTCTTTCACTGCTCAGAAGAGATGGGCTTTGAATAATCCTTTGCAGCTCCATCACCCAGGGGAGGTGGGGTGACAAATCCATGGGTGGCAAAGCAACAGGATCCGAACTCTTGACCTTGGTGATACCAGCATCACACTCTAACCAACTGAGCCAACTTGAGGAGTAGGGTGCTGACATCGGATCATAAGATCTTTCGCCAAGGCAATTAAGTTTTGGACAGCCTGGGCCATCCCCTTGGCTCACTTGGGAGAGTGTGGCACTGGTAGCACCAAGGGCGTGGGTTCGAATCCTATATAGGGATGGCCGGTGCACTCACTGGCTGAGTGTGGTGCAAACAACACCATGCCGAGGGTTGCGATCCCCTTACTGGTCAGAAAAAAAAAAAAAGTTTTGGACACCCTGCTTGAACTCATACCATCTTTTTATCACCCTAAAGGACACTCTCAGAAGATGGTACTGGAAATGTGAGAGGCACCTGCACCCTCTCCCTTCCCAATCCTGGGCAGCTGATAACTAGCAACTCAAATGCTTGCCTGCCCTTTACTTTCTGGGCCCTTATTCAACAAGTACTGATTATGTGCCTCTGGAACCCATAATATTGCCCTACATACTGGGAAATACAAAGCACTAAGGAATACATGATCTTGCCCTATAGAGCTTACATCATAGTTGGGAAGACAGATGTTCTGTAAATAAAAATACAAGCATCTACGTTTGGTACAGTCCAGGGCCGGCCCATGGCTCACTTGGGAGAGTGTGGTGCTGATAACACCAAGGCCACAGGTTCGGATCCCATATAGGGATGGCCGGTTAGCTCACTGGATGAGCGTGGTGCTGACAACACCAAGTCAAGGGTTAAGATCCCCTTACCAGTCATCTTTAAAAAAATAATAATAATAAAATTAAATTAAATTAAAATTTAAAAAAATACATTTGGTACAGTCCAGCCGGTGGGGCGGCTTACCATAGCTGAGGTCTCCCAGACTTTGTGGAGCAGATGCTATGCAAATGAGTCTTTGAGGAACGTGTTAAATAAAATTATAGGAGGCCATTGTTTTGGACTAAGTTCCTGCACTAGACCCCAACAGACCTGGCTGAAAACCAAAACAGAGTCACCCCTGTTAAGTTTCACATTATTTAGGTGGTGGTCTTACCTTAAGACCAATTTCCCGAACAGTATAAATCTTCAATAAATACGATAATGAAGTTCCCTCTGCTTTAATCCTTACACAAAAAGGATAGCCTGAAGTAACCAGTTATTTTTTCATTGTGCTGTCTCCTGGTTCCTACCTTACAAGGAAAAGTAACTGAAATAACTAATCGGCTTTTTGTTTCTGCTTTTTCAGCCTTTTTTCTGTCTATGAAGCCAACCTCCTCTGCTCAGCTCACTGGAACACTATTTTTTTGGAAAGACTTATTGCCCGATTCTAGACTTGCAATAACCTATTGAGATCTTTAAATTTGTTGTAGGAGTGCCTTTGACACGTTTGGGTGAACCACACCTTACAGGCAGATACAAGGGTGGAGTTTGGGGAAAGCCTGAAAGACCAGGCTCAAGAGTATCAAAGACCATCTTTGGAGCATTTTATCTCTCTCTTTTTTTTTTTTTTTTTTTTTGGTGGCAGCTGGCCTGTATGGGTATCCGAACCTTGACCTTGGGGTTACAACACCGCGCTCTAACTAACTTAAACAAGCAGCAGCTCTGGGCATTTTGGTACTGCAGGGAACAAGCTGCAAACAACTCCGCCCTCCACTTTTCAAATAAATCCCATCTGTGCACACGCGCCTCGGAGGGCGCAGGCGCTCTGTTATCATAGAGGTGCAGAGCTAGATCGTCTACCTCCTGAGAGCCCGACATTTTGGGTCCTGGCAGAAAAGTTGGAAACGGCCGAGCCACTACCAAGTCAGGCTGCCCCGCTCAAGAATGTGAGAGCAAAGAGAACTCCTGAGCGAGCGGCCAAAGCAAGAGGCGGAGCAAAGCCGTGTTGCGTCCCTCGGAAGATCAGGCTTTTAAAGAGTCTCCCACCTCCCTGCCCTCATCCGATATGGCGGCCCTGCAGGCGCTCTAGCCGGCGCCCCTCGATTCCCGGAGGGGGCGGCGGCCTCGCTTCTCGCCCTGAGGTGGCCGCGGCACTGGTTGCTGCGAGCGTGGGCTCCTCGGGAGCCCTTGGTGGCGTTTGGTAGCGGGGGGCTCGGGCCTCTCCCCTCCTGCACCGGCCTTCTCAGCGCCTTCCACAACCGGACCCCCGGGCCTCGCGGCCGCCTCGGTCGGAACCGCTCCCGGTGCGGCCCCGCGCGGGGCCGGCTGTAACCGCGCCTCGGGCCGGACGATGCCCAAGAAGCTGCTGCTGCTGCCGCCGCTGTCCGTGTCCTCGACCTTCCGCGGCCCGCGAGCCCGCCCCGCCGCCCGGCCGGCCATGAACGCCGCTCGCACCGGCTACCGAGTCTTCTCGGCCAACTCCACGGCCGCCTGCACGGAGCTGGCCAAGCGCATCACCGAGTAAGCGCGGGCGGCGGGAGGCCCGGGCCGAGGG